CTGACTTCTGTAGAAGCGGCAGAGTGGAGACACCAGAACGAGTGGGATGAGATCTAACAGATATCGCGGCCTCCAGGATCCTGATCCCACACCCCAGCTGTGAGGAGGCCCCCCCCACCCCCGTGCTGAGGAAGAGTGTTGAGGACCCCCAAGGCCGGCTCTCCATCGCAGTCTGAAGTGTGCGCCTGCAGCCTGGGTGCAGGATGAGCAAAGGAATGAATGAGGGAAGAAAGGAGGAACACCACCGTGAACCTGAGTCCTTGGGCGGTCAAGTTTTCTTTTTGTCATTTCTTTTTGTCTAGAATCAGTTTCCCCGTTCCTAGAATGAGGAAGTTGAAGATAAGAAGTGCTTCTCAAACTTCCATAAGCAACTGAATCAACCAGAGATTGACCGGTTAAAACACCCTGGGGGCCCTGCCCCCAGAGATTCTGATTGATGCTCTGGGATGAGACCAAAGAATCTGTATCCCTAACCAGATCCTGGATGAGGCCGCAGGTCCTGAGACCCACCTTGGGCAGCGCTAGACAGTGTGGCTGGTGAGGGTGCCCCAGGATCTCCAGGTCCCCTGAGTGCCCTGGCAGGGCGGATGGGCCCACACAGGAAGCCTCTTGTCTTTTCCCTGGCGCTTTGGCGTGTGAGGGTCCAATAGTTGGTCAACTGCAGGAAACCAGCCTCACTAGCCCTTGTGCTGGGAGACGCTGCCACCTAGTGGATGTGTCTGTACTGTGCGGGGCCCAGCGGGCGGCCAGTGCCGGTTCCTGACTGAGGGGGGAAAGTTCCTGGGAGGTCCACTTTTCCTATCAGGAAGCAGCCTTGTTCGTGTCTGGGCCATCTGACCCCTTTGGAGTCCGCTGTGGATACTGATGCCTGGATTATTTGGGGAAAATAAAACAAAATGAGGCTGCAAGCCTAGGGGATCGCTTGCTAGGGGAAACTTGGGAGTATAGCTGAGCATAGTGGCCACCCCTGTAATCCCAGTGATTTGGGAGGCTGAGGAAGGAGGATCGAAAATGTGAGGCCTGCCTCAGCACTTAGCAAGGCCCTAAGCAACTTAGCAAGATCCTGTCTCAAAAAAATAAATAAATAAATAAAAAGGGCTGGGGATGTGGTTCGGTGGTAGAACATAGATCAGCACACATGAGGTTCTGGCTTCAACCCCCAAGACCAAAACAGAACAAATGCCTGTTATACTGTTATCTCTCTCTTGAAAAACTAATTGATCTTTGTAATTACAATTTTATTTTAAGAAAGGAAGCATCCTAGACAGCATGATTTCTTGAAATAAATGTACATTATGGAATGGCTAAGCTAATTAACGTATTTGCATCTCCTCATGTACTTCCCATCCTTTTTTTGTTTTCCTTTTTGTAGTTGTAGATGCCTTTATTTATTTTTAAAGAACAGCATGCCTTTATTTATTTTTATGCGGTGCTCGGGATCGAACCCAGTGTCTCACACATGCTAGGCAAGCGCTTTGCCACTGAGCCACAACCCCAGCCCCACTTTTTAAAAATGTTTTAATTTTTAAATTTTTCAAATTTTGAGACAGGGTCTCCCTAAATTGCTGAGGCTGGCTTTGACCTTGTGATCCTCCTGCCTCAGCCTCTCAAGCCATTGGGGAACCACACACATTGTTTTTAACCCACAGTCACCATGTGCACAGTAGATGTCTTGAACTAATCCCTGCTAACTGAAATGCTGTGTCCCTTGACCACCCTCTTTCCATTCCATCTCCTAGTTATCTTGATTTACTAAACATAGATGTTCGTGGGGGATGTTTCTATGGAAAAGGATTTGTGTGTCTTTACATATTTTTGCTACAAATCCTCTCCAAGGGGCTCCATACGCCAATTTTGTTGTTGTTGTTGTTTGTTTATGAGGCTGAATCTCACTCTGTTGCCTGTGTTGCCCAGGCTGGCCTTGAACTTGCTATCCTCCTGTCTCAGCCTCCCAAGGAGCTGAGACAACAGGCACATACCATCACTAGGCCTGGCAAGGCACTTTGAAAATGTTGGTGAAAATATGATATGTCAAGAGCTTTGTAAAAAAAAAAAAATGTTGGTGATTCACTTATCCAATTAGGAAAAAAGGAAAAAGAAAACAATAAGAATATTGGCGAGTATGTGAAGAGGGGAGAAAGACCTTTTGTGTGTGTGTGTGTGTGTGTGTGTGTGTGTGTGTGTGTGTGACTGAGTTGCTGGAGCTGGCCGTGAACTCCTGGATGCAAGTGATCCTTTGCCTCCGCTTCCCAAGTAGCTGGGACCACAGGCACCCAGCAAGAGAGAGGCCAGGTACATGCGTCCATGGGAAGGACCTCTGGGAGGGAACTCCCCCTGCAGCCGCCCTGAGCTGGCTGGGGACAATCCAGCTTTGTTTCACTCTCCACTTCTTGGACCTTGAAAGAGGAACTTGGAGACTGTCAAGGGTTCTGAGTTTAA